AGTATATGACATACATCTGAGTGAAATTATTGAAAAAGAAAAAATGTTAGGTTGGACTTGGTTCTGTCAATCAATTGTTGAATGGATGGAGGCAATCAGGTGAATCCGAGTTTGCGAGATTGTCAATTTTAAGAAAGAGGCGGGGTTTAAGTGGGTGAAATTTTTGGAGAGGTCGGGTATATGTCACCAGTCTTTACACCAGAAGATCAAGTCATGATATTATGATGAATAATTACAAGGAAAATATGCATGTATGAATTGCTCACAATAAAATCATTAACATGCGTTTTGAAAATACATAGGGTGAATTTTAATTTCATACTAAATATCTTTGGAAAGAACTATATACTTATGTGTGTATACTGTTACTGTATGTATATTTAAGGAATCGTTTTGCATGATTAACAAGAATTTATGTGGTTTACAAAACATGAAGTTTCTGTTCATGAGACGTAGAAGGTATATGTATAGCATATTGCTTTTACATCTCTTAGAAAGAGCATGTGTGTGTGTGTGAGACAAAGCTGAAATGTGTTGTTTACTAGATGATCTTACAATATGTAAATTACACTGTTTCAGGGTGCAAGGGGTCTTTCTGAACAAGCGAAAACATGTCTAGCTGGAAAAATACAAGTCTGGGTCACCTTGAGCTTGTAGTTATTTAGCAAGTGAAACTTCCTGCCCACGTTTAGTTTGTTGTTCTCTATATACTTGCAGAATAATGGTAAAAAGTTGCACATTTGCTTCTTTGGAATCATAACGGGGTTTTAAAAATGTTTGAATGTTATGCCAGTGACATTCATACAGTGTGACGTAAGTGTCCAAAAGTTTCCAAAGGCCCACTGTATATCATTCTAATAAGTGTATTAATTTCAGGTAATTTCCAGCATTGAACAATCAAATTAATTGACAGTGCAATGCAGTGCTTTGAACAGAAGGTTAACTGTTGAAAACCTATTCAGACACACTGATTAATACACATCATCATTGTCCATTTCCATACTCAATTGTCCTGAAGCTGTAGGACTCAAGAGAATTACATAACGGTGAACAGCAGGAAGTCTTTACTAGACTGCAACTAACATCAGTGGCCACACGGCTGCTTTAACCATGTTTTATTATGCTTATTGAAGACTAGTGTTGTCAAAAGACCCGGTATTTCGGTACCAAGTCGGTACTAAAAAAATGAAAACGTTACGGTACCAGGTTTTCTTAAGTACCGGTGGTACCGAGTACCCGGTCAACCCGGTTCTTGATGCGCTATCCGAAAGCTATCCTCTTCCAGTGTTGCCAAGTCTGCAGTTTTCCCGCGGAATTGGGCTGCTTAACACTGTTGCCTCAGGTTGTTTTTCATGTCCGCGGGTTGATAAACAACCCCATTAACGTGATATTTAGCCCCTGGAATGCGAATTACCAGGGGAACCCCGCCAAAACATGCGTATTCTGTCCTCTGAACGCGATTTTTAACGGGGGATCCCCTCGAAACGCGATTGGGCGGGTTTTGTTGTGAAAACCTGGCAACCTCTTCTTAAAAGCCGTGGCGACCTCAAGAGGAGGAAACGCATCAAACTAACAAAACACCCCGATCAATTTTTCAGTGGCAGCAGAACTATGACTAAACTTTTGGGTGAAACTTGTTTACTTTTTTCATACTTTTATTACTTATTTAAAATTGTTTCAAGTTTTTCCACAAGTATAAAGAATGGCATTGGTTTTGTACATTTAATTTTTGTTTAACGTTATTAATAAAAATGTTGTTCAATTAGCATGTTTTTGTGTTTTGCTTTGGTACCGAAATTGGTACCGAGAACCGTGGATTTTCACTGGTATTGGTACCGAATACTGAAATTTTGGTACCGTGACAACACTATTGAAGACATAAAGATGAAAACGGCACTTTTGTTTAACCACCTGACATTGAGGCATAGATTGTTATTGGACTGACACACACACACAGATGCAAGAGTTGATTACATTCATCAATCTTTTCCAAGCTGTCTGAGACTGCAGCTGCATTAGTTTCACATCATAGGTTTGTGTTGTAGCAGGTTTATATACAGTAGCACCAAGTTTGTAGGTGTTGATGTATAAGGGTGTGTTTGTGGTAAATGAGGCATGTTTACAACCCTGCTAGTTCAGCAAATACTTACCGTTCTCCCATTTCTCAATGTATTACCATGACGAAGCCAAACTGTGTGCATGTGAATACAAAAAATCTGTCGAGGACTCATTTATATTCTCAAAGGCTCCTTATTTTTTTATTAAACTCAGTTTACAAAGACATTCTAAGGGTAAAGTTCAATAAATGGCCGCATATTTCTGCTGATATAGTTGGATATCTGTTAACAGACTGTTGAAATGGTGCTTCATTTGGTCCTCTGCTCTATTTTATAAAAAAGGGAAAATTATACATTTCCTTCGGTGACTGCCTGCATTATCTAATAAAACCATTCATATTTAGTGCTGTACTTGATACTGTAATATGTGAGCACACCTTCATTTCAGGGGGAGCGTGAAATTCCCCCAGCTGTTTTTAAACGAGGTCCTGCTGATAGAATATGCATCAATATAAAATCGCGCTCATTAGTTAAGACTATTAATTATGTCCTAATGAACATGTCTGTAACGAAGTGCTGAAAAATGACATGGTAATCTGTGTTTAGTGTCTGGCAGAGCTGCACTGAGATGAAAATGACACCTAATCGGGGGTTTGGTTGCTCTCGTTCATGCTTGTTAAACATAGATTGATTGCTGAGGGACTAATCAAGGAACGAGAGTTTTCCCAGTGGAGTGTTTTTAATGCTTTTAATGATTAGATGTTGGGTGGACATCAGCTTGGCACTGGTTCATGCATAATGCTGATTTCTCTAGGACAGAGCTCTCTGGAAACTGTTGGGGAGAGGAAAATAATTTGGTTAAATTTATTGGCTTAGTGATTTTTTGTCTTTCCCATGTACATATAGAATGGATGAGATTTTAAGGTTTGCAGCGCATTGCATTCTGGTCATGTTTAACCACAGCACTTATGCGGGACATTATGATATTATACTGATACCATTAGTGGACATTAAAATGTGCAGAAATTATACACTTCAGCATTATGTTTTACCAAACCTGACATGCAAAACGCACCCTGGTCGTTGTATGAATACCAGTTGTATACTTCACCTCATGAATGCGATCATGTGCTTTCATCTCAAAGGAATGTGGTGCAGTGAGATCTATCACACTATGTTTGTGTAATTCCTTCCTTGATGAAAACATGCCAGCTGTGTTTGCACCCGACCATGAATTTCTCCAATGCCTTTATTTCCTTCTCATCTCTTCTGCTGGTGTTTATTTGTTGGTCTGCATTTTCTTTTTGCTTTATAAGGCTTTTATAACGAAGATTAGTACCGCTGGACAGACTCCGCTGTATGATTGCATGCAGCAGATGATGAATTACATAAGAAATAATTGAGTTGAGATGTTGTTAGATAAGACGTGACAGTGAGAGAAAGACGCGGATGTTTATGAATGATTTATTTGGGGTTGATTTACTTGTCCTGTCTGCTTCTGCTCTCATTATTCAGCTTATCAATATTGTATTTAGCTTACATTTGTATATTCGTAAGTATATCTAATAATTATAAATATACACTATTCTTCAAAAGGTTGGAGAGATTGTTACAAAAAAAATCTAAATACATGCTGTTCTTTCGAAGTTTCTATTCATCACAGAATCCTGAATTAAAATGTTTCTTAGTTTCCACAAAAATATTAAGCAGCACAACTGTTTTCAATATTGATAATAATAAGAAATGTTTCTTGAGAACCAAATCAGCATATTAGAATGATTGCTGAAGGATTATGTGACACTGATGACTTGCAAAGCTGACAAAATATTTCAAAAGATTGCTGTTTTTAACACAAAAATCTCACAGAGGACAAACTTGTATAAATAGTGTACAAATAATATAATATATATTCTAATTTCATATTGGCAAATAAAAACATTTCAGATAAAAAAAAAATGTATTAATTGCATGTTCTCTAAAGACCTCTGAATCTCAGTTTGCATTGCAGCAACACATAGGCCTACAGATTGAAGAAGTCTGTCTTTGTCCTAATTTTCAATGGAAACCTGCTTTCATTGTAACTGGAGCACAGGGTGGGGGGATTTGGGATATACCCAAGCAATCAGTTTACCGTCGTCGACCTTAATTGAGTTCATAAACGACTCCACTCCAATTCTGATAAACCGAGTAGAGACTTTCATTCATATAGCTTCATTCTCTCTCCACAGCTGCCACAGTATCTGTATTGTACAATGCTTTATTGTTTTTTTTTTGTACATCCTCTGTTCTTCAGCTTTCTTAGACTCTGTCTTTTTGAACCCTTCCTCTGTCCCTTTATATGCTGCCCTGTTATTTTCAAAGCTGCGATGAAGCCTCTAGAAACAACGTGACTCTGGGGAAAATGTTCTCAGAACAAATTTGTCAAGTCGAGATATAGCAAGTGATTTTACTCTGAATGGACCAGCAAAGCTCTTTTGAGAAGAGGAAGAGGTCTCCTCAATGAGGAGCTTCAGCAGAAATGAATAGATTTTAAAGAGCAACTCTTAATGTTGAATTAGGTGAGTCAGGCAGTGGGTAGATCTCCACATACTCCCACAATCCTGTGCCCACCAGCAACAAAGGAATGGCAAATCCCAGCTGGCATGATGCCCTCCAAGTCCTACTAATGAGAATGTTCTGAAAGGTGGGGGCGTGAGAGCTCTGGCTTGCTCTTTCTCTCTCTCCATCCATCTTTTCTTGGTATCTGCAAATGCACTGCATCTTTATATACACACCTATCCCCAAAAGACAAACACTTTATTTGTAATATAGACTTACAGAAAAAGAAGTTCACCTGTTTAATTATCTGTTTGTCCCATTGGTGTTCTCGGTAGTGGTGAGAATGACCGCTGAATGGTGACTGCTGCTGTTGTGCTGACTAAAGCTGTGCCATTTCTGTTTCAGTCCATCATGGAGCAGTTCAACCCTTGCTTAAGGAACTTTGTTGCCATGGGGAAGACTTACGAGAAGGCCCTCTCTAGTGAGTACATCAGTAGCTTGTTCATTATCACTCTCGCAGGCAATAAGCCAGCTCTTGTTTCATAGGTCTGCTTTAATTTATGAGAAGAAATTGCTTGAAATTCATGCTTACGGAGAGCGCCCCTCCTTGGTTGCATACACCTTTGTGACTAGCATCTGGGATTTGTTATTGCTAATGTAAAAACATTCTTGCATTGAACTCTAGTAGAATGTTGTTTAAATGTTTGTTGAATGTTTGTTAAGAATTAATGTTTTTGTTTGTGGGGCAGAAGACTTCCTGTTCTCTCGTAGTGATGATGTCTTAGAATGTTACATGTCTAAATCCATTTGCACCCTGAAACCCCCTAAACATCCATCCGGTTCATGCATGTTGCATCTCCAGAGCTGTCACATACATGTAACCAATGACAATCGATGATGTATTTCTGTTATGTGTGCGGACCTTCATGTGTGTTTTCGAGATGTTGACTGGGCAAGGGCAAGGACAAGGACGTAGGTGTTTCGGAGCAAAAATATGCACTGGGCGGAAGGGAGAGTAAAATGGAACAGAGGACAGGCATAAATAGGCCAGAGAGAGCTTTGGGAGCAGACACAGTCCCACGGAGGGAGCGAAAAAGGGAACAGGGAAGATGTATATTCAGGACAAGAATGATATGTCACTACAAGGAGGACTGAGTATGGCAAATACAACGCTAGATAGCACAGGTATCTGGTGTTCAGGGCATCGATTAAATGTCCTTTTCTGCATTGCCTCTTTCTTTCACAATACTTTATTCTGAGAATAACAATTTACTAACAATGTATCATTTTTAACATATAACACTCTTGAAAAAAACTAACCAGGTACGATGCAACAAGACGACAAACAGTTTATCTTTGTATACCGAACTCTAAAACCAGACATGAGACCTAATCGATCATAAAACGCAGCCAATTACTACAGGTTCTACTAATTTTGTGAACACTCTAGTGTAAAACTAAGAACACAAAGCTAGTATTTTCATGCTTTTTGTGGTTTTCCATTTGTTATTTAATATCCAATATAAAATACGATTCTAAACTTCCATAGTCTCTCCTCATTCATATTTGATGTTTAATACTGTATGTATGAGGAGTAGTATTTCGGTCCAGTGAGATTTCACTCTGGGTGAGGTTTACTTGGCGGGATGCCGTAGAAATAGAAAAAAACAACAACAGATTAAACAGATAAGTCGTGATCCTGGCTGGTTAGGAAAATTCTGATTAATATGAAAGAGAACTTTTAAATCATTTGTCCCTTTTACCTTTTTGTACACGTTGTTAGGGTGTTTTACAGTTTTAAACAGATGCTAAACCAATGGGATTTGCGTTATATTCAGGTAAATAATGCTGCCGCATTGTCTGATCTCAAGGTATAATGTGTACAGAGTTCTTGTGTTCAGTTTAGCTCCACGGACAAGGCAGAAGCTTTAGGATGAGCATTGAATCCCTGTAGAGTTGCACTGTGCCAAGTACTGCAGAGAACCAATCACTTTCCTCACCATTCCAGACTTCATCTAATATTTTATGAGGGAGAAAATACAAGAAAAAGACCAAAGCTCTAGAGGGTGTGTATGTGTGCGAGAGTGTGAAGTCTGATAGATAAGGTTAAAAATAGACCCAACTCGAGTGAGATTTGCGCTCCCATCCTTGCAGATCAGCCTTGGCTGCAGCTACGAAGGGTCGCAGAATCCATCATGGGGATTTGCTGGAGTTTTAAATATGCCAGGTCTTGCAGGCAGCAAAGTGGAAACCCTCCACAGTACCCACTAATGAATAGTGCAGATGGTGGCCACTGGGCATTTGCAAGATTTTGGGCTGCTTGGCAAATGCAAGAAACCAATAGTGAAATTAATAGATCATTAAAATGTCAACGTCGAAACATTGACTGCAATTGTCCAACAGTGGCTTGAGGACAAAGAGATTTTGGAGGTCCATTTGCATGCTCTAGAGTAGATGATTATGTTGAGATGTGTTGTGCATAAGCAGCTGCTAAGCCTAAAGCATCCCCCTCCTTTGCCTTTTCCTTGGAAGTGTTGGAGGACTCTTAGAAATGAAGGATTGAAAAAAATAATTAGGATAAGAATAATTAGTGACCAAAGACTTTAATATCTATATTTAATGGAGACTTTTGTCAGCAACTTAGCTAGAGGATATCACACACAAACTTGCAATGTGATAACTGGGTCTAGATTGAGCTTCTCTGTGGTTTTTAACTTCAGATTGTCTCTTGTGACTGATCAATGTTTCCTCAGAGATGGTTGGAGAGACTTTCTGCCCTATTTTTCAGACCTCTGTAATCCTCTTTCCTTCTGCTGCCTCTCTCGTTCCTTTACCCCTCACCACTCAGCCTAACCGCTGGAGCACCAAAGCCCCCAGATTTCCCCCTCTAATCCCTCACAACCAGGACGCACCTTATCCTGAGCCTAGGATTTGCGCGGACACTTGTAAATAAGTCTACACATTCATACGTGATTGGGCTGCCATTGGTGTAGCCTTACCACCTCCACCCAAACACTCCCACTGCCTTGAATTGGGATGGTCATACGGCATATTGAATTTGATGTGAATGTCAACAAGGCTGTTAGGGAGAGAATACAACAGTCCATTCAAAATGTCAGAGGCCAGAAGCAGATCTTACAGCACAAGTACATGTGGCAGTGCTGAGAATGCAATGCTTGTGTACTTTCACTATGTAATGAAATAGATAGGGATGCACCATTATTAAAATTCTTGTGCAGAATTGTGTCATTCTGATACAGACAAGTCGATTTTAATTTTATGGCTGATATTAAATGGTACACTATTTTGTCTAAATAAATTATTTCAAATGCTACAAGTAGATTTAGGCATAACATTTCTGTACATTGTAATAAAAAATGGATATTCATTTTGAGATTTGCTAAAGATTACAGTGTTTTACAGTGTTATTAAATTGTATTGTTTTAATGATTAATACCAAAGTTAGATGGCGACAAATGTAATCTAAAATGTAAGAATAAAATTACTTTTCCAATACTTGGTAATCCAGTATTGGAACAGATAGAGCTTTCCTGTAATTGCAGCATTTTGAAATGCAACAATGCATGAAACAAATGTGCAAAGCACATTTGTTTGCGTACTTCAAAACTCTCAAAAACATTATTTGAGTATTAGATGTGATTCTACAACAAATTGGATGTACTTCTGTCCCTCACAGCCTTTCATATTTGCATCAAATTAAATATGCTGTGTTGGTTTCTTACCTGATTTTAACCGTTTTAAAATGATGAATTCAAGGCAGAACATGCTAACCTTTGCTAACCACTTGCTCAGTATATTCTGGTCCTACGTTCTAAGACACTTTGTGCTTCTTGGCACTGTCCCGCCTCACTAAACTGCCATGATCCTCTTGCTCCGAGAGAGCCTGATTGTGAGCCAGCCCTTCTCTGCCATGGTGATGCAAAAGAGTCACAGCTGTCCCTGTGGTGGGACCTCACACAGAACGAGTGATTGCTCTCAGTAATGTGCTATCTGATGTGAATGTTAAGTTTTGGAGGGCATCAAGCTTTTTTTGTTTGTTTTTTATTTTAAAGTAATGGTACTTTTGCTATTCATCGCTCACCAATCACAAGCTCCACCCCCACCTCCCCCAGTTCTCTGGCCGAGCCATCATAGAACATATAGAGCTTAAAGCTTTCCCATCCACCACTCCTGTTTCCATAGATGCGGCACCTGTGGGTTGAGGGAAGCTTCGGGTTAGCACATTAGCACAGTCCCGATTCTTATGTCCCCAATGCTTCCATGTTTCCAGGTGTGACATTTGCAGCAAAAGGCTACTTCGACGCACTGGTGCGGATGGGAGAGCTGGCCAGCGAGAGTCACGGCTCTAAGGATCTTGGTGAGTTATAGACTGTAGCTGCAGTGCCCCCTATGGTTGGGAGGGGGATTGCAAAAGAGAATAACTTGATGGTTTCAGTGTGAATGGCTTTGGATGTATGAGCACATAGTACAGCATATTTAAGACTGTATCTTTGGATATAACACACACTATCTTTGTACAAATGTACACTCTGCAGATTCATTCATTTGCTTATTGGTGATTTGTTGCATTGTGTTCATTCTATCCTGTTATCTTATTTCCATGTCTCTCTATGAAAAATCGTTCATCTGTAGGACTTTAGATTTAGGGAGTCGTGATGAGACTATAAAATGGTTCTCGATGCATATTAATTTTTCCTTTGCCGTAAAATATGCAAAAACTCGATTTGCACTTTCACAACCATAAACTGCCATTCTGCTGTGCATTATAACAAACAATACATTTTTAATTGTGATTTGTGTAAATGCTATAAAAATTTATGTATTTTCTAGCATATATGCCGATTCAGATGACATCCTTCCTGCATCTTTGTTGCGTAAAATGGCTTTAGTAATGTTCTTGAAATATTTAAATTGTGTGGCAGTTTTTGCACACTACAACAGGTTTTTGTTTTGTTTTGCATACTTTTTTTCAATTAATTTAAAATGAATGTTAATTTTGTGCATTAAGCATCTGCAAATCATTTGTTTTTCTCCAGCCCTTGTATGAATTATGCCCTACCAATGATTGCATAACATGAAAAATTTCATATGCAAACATTTTTAGAGATGACATTCAGAGAACACATCTGAAGTTACAGTACAAGTATGTTTTTTTCCTCACTAGTGTTGCTGTCTGTTCATTATTTATGACTGTACCTTGTAGCTACTGTAGCAGTGACTAACTGAGAAGTAAACACCATAGCAACCAATGATAAAATGGGCGCACCAAATACTTATCAGAATATACAAATAATAACTCTTTGATATTTACTTTTCCAGGAAGTGTTGTACTGTTCTATTGGTATACGGCTGAAGAGAGCATTTTTTTTTAATATCAGTATATCATTTGATTTAGCCTAAATCTGTTTAGGCAAGTTTTTTGATCAGAGTGTGGGTTTGAGCCTCAATGCTTAACTTCAAACAAACAAGTCTTGTTGTACGGTTGCGTGTTCAGTGCATCACTAGAGTTTGAGTCAGACTTCAGTGGCATGTGAGACTCTTGATGGGACTGGCCTTTGAATCTGCAGCATAATCTCATCCTCTCTAAAAGCACATCAGAATCACAGCAGCAAATATGAGAAGAAGTTTTCTCTTTAAAGAGGACTGGAGGGGAGAGGCTCACAGAGGGACATGAAAGCTGGTTATACTTCCATTATTCATCTAAGAAACATTTTACGAGCATTCATCTTTTCATTTCACTGGTTGGTGTCTCATTGAATACATTTTCAATGAAGCTCACAATCCCAGCTCTAATTTGATCAGTAAAAGGCTATTATTTGAATGAATTCAGCTTCATCTTATCCTGAGATAAGTTACCTGATTTCCAGCTTTCTCAATATCTAAACAGTATAGCCAGGCGGAGCTGGAGTCTTTATGAGATTATATTTTAGTTTGCAGAGTGCTGCTTTCTCAGCATTGTTAAAAAGCAGCAATATCTGGGTATGAAAAGTTTAATGAGAAAAGTTTTATGAGGATTTAAGTCTATCAGCCTTTTCACCCGAGACTTTTTCTTCACTAGACAAATTAAAGCATGTCTGTGTTTGTTTTGTAACTTCGTGATTATGCAGAAAATATATTTTAATCCTCAAAAATGTATAAGGCTGGATGGTATGACATTTATTCTGCTCCGATACTAGAATGTGTCCATCAATACTATACTGCTATTGTGGTAGATATCAGGAATGATTTATGTTATTATGGCAGTGACAAGAAATAAACATGGATTAATAATAAAATACAGAAGTGGATGTGTTCCAAACAAGTAGTTGTTTGGTTGCTAATATTTCCTTTGCTGTTTTAAGTCGCTATTTAAGTTGTTTTGTATTCAAATGTTACATAAGTCCGATATCATTATGCTCCTCTCTCAACAGTGCATTTAATGTGTGCATGCATGTATTGATTATCCTATGTTTCTACAGCTGTTCCAGTAATGCTCATGTCATCTGTCTGTGCCTGTACATACAAATACATGTGCATTAGAATTATCATGCAGCTTTTACTAGGGATGCACAATATATCGACAGCATATTGGCCCAATATCTGCAAATATATAATATTTATTTTTTATTATAGAAGCAGCAGATATTGGATATAAAGTACAGCCAAAACATAAACATCAGTCAGAGAGTAAATGTTGGTGCATCCCTAGATTTTACAGGTATCTAATCAACAGTGCTTTAAGTTTACACTTGTTGACAGTTTGTTGCATGTGTCTCTGTTTCCCTGAGTCTCGTTCTTGTCTTCACATGGCCCGAAAGCATTCCAGATGCATGTCATAACCACAAAACATACCAGTTCCTTTGTCTGGTTGCTTTCTGAGTGAGTACATGATTGATTTGCATGAGCAAGACAAAGAAGTGTGTGTTCATTTTTGAGTGACAGGTTTTGTTAGGATTTGTTTGTTGTTCTGTAAGTGCATATAGAGCTTAAAGCTTTCCCATCCACCACTCCTGTTTCCATAGATGCGGCACCTGTGGGTTGAGGGAAGCTTCGGGTTAGCACATTAGCACAGTCCCGATTCTTATGTCCCCAATGCTTCCATGTTTCCAGGTGTGACATTTGCAGCAAAAGGCTACTTCGACGCACTGGTGCGGATGGGAGAGCTGGCCAGCGAGAGTCACGGCTCTAAGGATCTTGGTGAGTTATAGACTGTAGCTGCAGTGCCCCCTATGGTTGGGAGGGGGATTGCAAAAGAGAATAACTTGATGGTTTCAGTGTGAATGGCTTTGGATGTATGAGCACATAGTACAGCATATTTAAGACTGTATCTTTGGATAAAACACACACTATCTTTGTACAAACATACACACTCTGCAGATTCACTCATTTGCTTATTGGTGGTTGGTTGCATTGTGTTCATCTATCCTGTTGTCTTATTTCCGTGTCTCTCTATGAAAAATCATCTATCTGTATTAGAATTTAGATTTAGGGAGTCGTGATGAGACTATAAAATGGTTCTCGATGCATATTAATTTTTCCTTTGCCGTAAAATATGCAAAAACTCGATTTGCACTTTCACAACCATAAACTGCCATTCTGCTGTGCATTATAACAAACAATACATTTTTAATTGTGATTTGTGTAAATGCTATAAAAATTTATGTATTTTCTAGCATATATGCCGATTCAGATGACATCCTTCCTGCATCTTTGTTGCGTAAAATGGCTTTAGTAATGTTCTTGAAATATTTAAATTGTGTGGCAGTTTTTGCACACTACAACAGGTTTTTGTTTTGTTTTGCATACTTTTTTTCAATTAATTTAAAATGAATGTTAATTTTGTGCATTAAGCATCTGCAAATCATTTGTTTTTCTCCAGCCCTTGTATGAATTATGCCCTACCAATGATTGCATAACATGAAAAATTTCATATGCAAACATTTTTAGAGATGACATTCAGAGAACACATCTGAAGTTACAGTACAAGTATGTTTTTTTCCTCACTAGTGTTGCTGTCTGTTCATTATTTATGACTGTACCTTGTAGCTACTGTAGCAGTGACTAACTGAGAAGTAAACACCATAGCAACCAATGATAAAATGGGCGCACCAAATACTTATCAGAATATACAAATAATAACTCTTTGATATTTACTTTTCCAGGAAGTGTTGTACTGTTCTATTGGTATACGGCTGAAGAGAGCATTTTTTTTTAATATCAGTATATCATTTGATTTAGCCTAAATCTGTTTAGGCAAGTTTTTTGATCAGAGTGTGGGTTTGAGCCTCAATGCTTAACTTCAAACAAACAAGTCTTGTTGTACGGTTGCGTGTTCAGTGCATCACTAGAGTTTGAGTCAGACTTCAGTGGCATGTGAGACTCTTGATGGGACTGGCCTTTGAATCTGCAGCATAATCTCATCCTCTCTAAAAGCACATCAGAATCACAGCAGCAAATATGAGAAGAAGTTTTCTCTTTAAAGAGGACTGGAGGGGAGAGGCTCACAGAGGGACATGAAAGCTGGTTATACTTCCATTATTCATCTAAGAAACATTTTACGAGCATTCATCTTTTCATTTCACTGGTTGGTGTCTCATTGAATACATTTTCAATGAAGCTCACAATCCCAGCTCTAATTTGATCAGTAAAAGGCTATTATTTGAATGAATTCAGCTTCATCTTATCCTGAGATAAGTTACCTGATTTCCAGCTTTCTCAATATCTAAACAGTATAGCCAGGCGGAGCTGGAGTCTTTATGAGATTATATTTTAGTTTGCAGAGTGCTGCTTTCTCAGCATTGTTAAAAAGCAGCAATATCTGGGTATGAAAAGTTTAATGAGAAAAGTTTTATGAGGATTTAAGTCTATCAGCCTTTTCACCCGAGACTTTTTCTTCACTAGACAAATTAAAGCATGTCTGTGTTTGTTTTGTAACTTCGTGATTATGCAGAAAATATATTTTAATCCTCAAAAATGTATAAGGCTGGATGGTATGACATTTATTCTGCTCCGATACTAGAATGTGTCCATCAATACTATACTGCTATTGTGGTAGATATCAGGAATGATTTATGTTATTATGGCAGTGACAAGAAATAAACATGGATTAATAATAAAATACAGAAGTGGATGTGTTCCAAACAAGTAGTTGTTTGGTTGCTAATATTTCCTTTGCTGTTTTAAGTCGCTATTTAAGTTGTTTTGTATTCAAATGTTACATAAGTCCGATATCATTATGCTCCTCTCTCAACAGTGCATTTAATGTGTGCATGCATGTATTGATTATCCTATGTTTCTACAGCTGTTCCAGTAATGCTCATGTCATCTGTCTGTGCCTGTACATACAAATACATGTGCATTAGAATTATCATGCAGCTT